GACGGTCGGGGCGTCTGAGCGTACGTTGTGAAATCTGGGAAAGCACACGCCGGAGCACAGACTGATGAAGCAAGCCGTGCGTGTCGGGGGTGGACAGGACCCCCAACAGTGACACGTCGAGTAGTGAATTGTCCGTTGTCGGTTCTCGAGAGGGCGCCATGGCCGTCATTTTCCAGGCTTGCGCCCGCCAGGTTTGGGCCTCAGGTCGTTTTCACTAAACCACGTTTTACTAAAGGGGGGTCTGTCCCTCCCCGAGCGTGCACGACATAAACAAGAAAGGGAAGTGGGGGATCCCGCAGTGTGGTCTGCAGGGCGCGTGCCTCCCAAAAGCCTATGCCCAGGGGCTCCGGGAGGCTGGCGGTGTCGAGCGCGGTGGGGAGGCGTGGCGGGGGCTCTCGGAGCGGGTTTTGCAGTGCTGGTGGTGGCCTCGAGGAACCCATGCCGAGAGGCTCCGAGGGGGCTGGCGGCGTCGGGTGTGGTCGGGAGGCGTGGCGGGAGGTCCCAGAGTGATTTTCGCAGCATGGGGGGCTTCGAAGAGTGCATACCCTGAGGCTCCTTCTGGAGGCTGGCGGTGTCGGGCGTGGTGGGGAGCCGTGGTGGGGGGTCCCGAAGCGATTTCTTGCAGGGTGGATTGCTCCTCGGAGCCCATGCCCAGAGGCTCCAGGAGGCTGGCGGCGTCGGGCGTGGTGGGGAGGCGTGGTGGGGGGGTCCCGATGCAATTTTTGCAGTGCTGCTGGCCTCGAAGAACTCATACCCAGAAACTCTGGGAGGCCGGCGGTGTCAGGCGTGGTGGGGGGTGACGGAAGGGTTTTTGCAGGGTGGGGGGCTCGTAAGAATTTATACCCAGAAGTTCCAGGAGATTGGCGTTGGTGGGCGTGGTGGGGGGGCGTGGTGGGAGGTGTCGGAGCGATTTTCTCAGGGCGGGGCTTTCGACAGAACCCATGCTGGGCGTAGTCGGGAGGCGTATTGTTAGGTGCCGGAGTGATTTTTGCAGGGTGGGTGGCTCGCAAAAGCCCATAATTATCCTATGGCTCCTGGAGGCTGGCGGTGTCGAGTGTGGTAAGGAGGCGTGGTGGGGTCATCAGCAATGCTTGCAGGGTGGATGGCTCCGAAGAGCTCATGCCCAGAGGCTCTGGGAGGGTGGCGGTGTCTGGCGCGGTGGGGAGGCGTGGTAGTGGTAGGGGCGACAGCGATTGCTGCAGAGGGGGACGACTCCGAAAACCCGGTACCCAGTGGCCCCAGAAACCAGTTGTATGCTTATTTCCCTCTGCAGTCGCGAGCGACGAATCCACGGTTAACCTTGTGCAGCCAAGTATGCTCTCGTGTCCTCTCGATCCCCGGCCACTTTTGCTGGGTGCCCTGTGGCCTGCTTGTGCGATGCAGCCCTCGGAAGCTCCTCGGGGTCCTGTCGGATGGCCTCTGGCTTCTGCCGCGGAGGAGGGGGGGGGGGGGGGGGAGATGGGGGGGGAGGGGGGAGGGGGGGAGATGGGGGAGGAGGGGAGAAGGGCAGTCGCGGTTTTTGTTAGTTACCTCGCGGGGGGGGGGAGGAGGGAGAGGACGAGGGCAAGGAGATCGGGCCCCACGAAGGTAATTACAGCAGGGGCCCGACCACAAGAAGCCTGCCACAAGAAACCCAACCCTGAGACCTCAGGACGTCCATGGATCTTAAGAGGGGGAGCGCCACGCTGTCCATAGCAAAAAGCCATCGACACGCAAGAAGCCCAAGGAGGAGGAGGAGGAGGAGGTGCAGGAGGAGGAGGAGGAGGAAGAGGAGGAGGAGGAGGAAGAGGAGGAGGAGGCAAGCAGGGTGTTCCTGGCATGGGCTTCCACTGGATGGCGGGGCCAGAGGAAGTCTGGAAGGGCGACGCCAGCACAGGGAGACCCAGCACGCAAGGCGGGAGGCCCGTGCCAGCCGGACGAAGCAGGCGGCCAGTGGAGGAGCCACGCGATAAGAGGGGGCGCAGGAGGGGGCCAGGGAGGAGGAGGCCGAATGGCGGACAGAACAAGAAGGAGGAGGAGGAGGAGCAGGAGGAGGGAGGAGGAGGGAGGAGGAGGGAGGAGGAGGAGGTGGAGGCGGAGGAGGAGGTGGAGGACAAGGCTCAGAGGGGAAATACGGTACTCATACCTCTACACTTCGCCCCTGTTTGTTATTCTTTCTTTCCAGGCCTCCTGGATGGCCCTCGTCGCCACTGGTGCACTCGCCCCGAACTTCTGGCCAGAACGCACCCTGGGAGAGGTCCAGAGAGTAATGGTGTCAGTACCTTGTGATTTCCCCAGAGGCACCAGGAGCAGGAGGAGAAGCGGCACGGAGAGGGAGTAACCTGTAGGAAGGGGTGCAGGCAATGGCGCCCTCCAGGGCGCGAAGGTCATCGCGCCCTTAAGGGCGCCATTCCTCGTCCTCCTCTTCTCCCCTGGGGGGCGGCGCGAGGGCGCGCAGCTATTCGCGCTTCGCGCAGCACGAAGCGCGAAGTTAGGCGCCCGTGCGGAGGAGGGTGGTGCGAAGGAAGAGGAGCATGGGTCAGGAGAGGAAAAAACACACAGACACAATTAATCCTCGATTCCCCAGAAAATATGGGAAAAATATGGGAAGTGGGGGGGAAGACAGAAACCCAGAAAATATCGGAAAATATGGGGAATATTTTTATTTGTGTATATTTATTTGTGTGTCCTGGGGCCCCTTCAATGGGGGAGGGGATGGCCGCCGTCGTCTCGGCATGGCCCTCCTGCGAGGACCAGGGGCAGCGAGAGGGGAGAGGCTCAGAGGGGGGGAGGTGCATCGAGGAGGCATCCTCCTCCTCCTCCTCCTCCTCCTCCTCCTCCTCCTCCTCCTCCTCCTCCGCATCCTCCTCCTCCTCCTCCGCCTCCTCCTCCTCCTCCTCCGCCTCCTACCCTTAGATTTGGGGCCGATGTCGCAACGACCCCCAGCCCCAGCCCCCCTGGCGCTGTGAACGAAGGTCACGACGGGAGGCGTTTTGACCATTCTCGGCCTCTGGGGCGGGTCCTCACCGGGCCTCGGGAGCGGGAAAGGACGGCTCAGGATGGCAAACGCCGGTCCCTGGGAGGGGCCCGAGACCTCTGGTTACCAGCCTGGAACATATCCCTATCCCTATGCTGGGCACCTCCTCATCACGATGCCAATCTTAGGGATTCCCTAATTGTTTGAGGGATTGTCATCGCCTTTTGGCGTGTCGATCTTAGGGATAGGGATACGTTCGAGGCTGGACGTGGCGGACACACCACGGCGTCGGGGGTCCGGGGTCGCCCATGTGGATCGCCGAGCGGGGTCCGAGATCGCGACTCCGCGGGCGCCTGTCGCCGATTTAATTATCGGTCCTGCCTCGCCGGTGCCGGCTCGATGTCCCCCCCGCCCCCAGAGATTTCGGGGGCGGAAAAGGGGGGGGTGACTCCTCCTCCTTCTCCTCCTCCTCCTCCTTCACCTCCACCTCCTCCACCTCCACCTTCTCCTCCTCCTCCTCCTCCTCCTCCTCCTCCTCCTCCTCCTCCTGCTCCTGCTCCTTCTTCTCTCCGGGGCGGCAAAGAGGGGGGTGATGACTAGGGGGGGGTGGATATCATGGCTGGGGCCATGATATTTCCTCGTCCTCGTCCTCGTCGTCCTCCTCGTCCTCGTCGTCCTCCTCCTCCTCCTCGTCCTCGTCTCCCTCCTCCTCCTCCTCCTCTTCCTCCTCCTCCTCATCCTCCTCCTCCCAACAGCAGTTCTGGTGCGTTCTGGCAGGGTTCGCTGTGGTCGAGGGCGGCAAAGAGGGGGCCTAGGGGGGGGTGGAAATCATGGCGGGGGCCATGATATTTCCTCAGATTTCACGGCGCCTCCTCTTATTTCATGACGTCCCTGGCCCCCCCCCGCTGAGCCGCGCACACGGGCCCAGGGTCTCAAGTCGGGCATGTCCCTCTACAGGAGGAAAATTCATACATAGTAAAAAAAGTCAGGGGACGATTGGTCCAGTATCATTGACTATTTATGTTTGCGCATGTTGTTAGATTATGCTTCGTTGCCCCTTCAAGATCCGCATGCAGGGGGACATGCCCGATGTATTCCCAGGACCCGTTGAAGGCCCACAGAGGCTGGACGTAGGGAAAGCACGTTGGGACACTCCGCGACGCGAGGGGTTCTGGGGACGTTCCCCTCGTCCGGGTCATTGGATATCGGTCGCGATCGGTCGCGATCGGTGGCGATCACTTTCTCGGTCGCGATCGGTGGCGACCGCTTTGCAGTCCAAATCGGTCGCGACCGATCTTCAAGCACAGCGGGCGCGACCGATACCAGAATGTGAGGCAAACTCGGTAGGGACCGATTTCGCCGGCCGCGGCTAGACCACCCTAGCACCCAATATCAGGGCACAGCTGAGCGACGCGGAAAAACGGGGTCGTTTGCGCCGACATTGGCGCGCTTTGCACCACCTCGCGTGCCGCTGCGCCACCTCGCGCAAGGCCCGTTGTCAATCGTCGCTCCTTTGGCCCTCCTCGGCAGAAAGGGCAGCCTTCAGAGTTCGGGCGAAGAGAACTATGCGCATGCACCGATCTTGGCCCGTTTATAATCGTCACTCAGCTGGCCCTCCTCGGCAGGAAGGGCAGCCTCCAGAGTTCGGGCGAAGAGAACGGTGCACGTGCACCGATCCTGGCCAGGCCGTCACCCTTGGCCCAGGTTCGGTGCAGATGCCTTCCCGGCCAGGGCAGGAGGGCGTGTGCACCGATCCTGGGCTCAGGATGAGCCGGGCCAGGATCGGTGCGTGTGCATAGTTCCCCACAGATCTAACGTATCGACAAATATCAAGACGGAGGTTTTTCCCAAAGTGCGGCCCCATGGGGGCCCTCACCGCGCCACGGGACAGTCAGAGCACGACTCAAGATGAAATGCCGGTCCTGTAGAATGGGTCGAGACTTCCAGGGAACCCTCAAGCAGTAGCGAAGCCACCCCTGGCTCACCGATAGCCCTACCAAACAATGTTCTAAGAACCTTTTGCGGTTCCCACGAAATGTTCTTAGAACATTTCTGGTGGAGCCTGTCTTCTTTGAACACAGCGGGTTTCTGTTCTAAGAACATCGTCATTGTGCGTAGGACATGTTTGAGTTCTAAGAACATGTCGTGGCAGGACTGTAGGGATCCTGTGACGGCCGGTCCCTGCTCAAAATCCGCATTGAGCAAATCAGGACATCGGATCTCAGGGTCTCGTTCCGCCACGAGCACCCGCGGGCGGGCTGCGGCGGAGCCCCGGCGGCGGGCGGGCGGCGGAGCCGCCGGGCGGGGGCGGCAGGCGGCCTACTCGGCGCAGGCGCCCGGGCACTCCTTCACGGCTGCGCCCGCGTACTCGCAGGCCGCGCCGCGCGCGCCCCCGTCGGGGCCGAGGCGGCGGTTCGCGGGGCTGGTTTTGAGGCGGGCACGTCTCTCCACACGAGGAGCATTCTTTCTGATGACGCACCCCATTCAGATATTGTGCACCAGTGCTCTGGGGACGATGCTTCTACTATTTTTGATGACTTTGCATTTCTTTCAACAGGGAGGAGGAAGAGGAGGAGGAGGAGGAGGAGGAGGAGGAGGAGGAGGAGAGAGGAGGAGAGAGGAGGAGGATGAGGAGAAGGAGTGGAGGAGGAGGAGAAGAGGAGGAGGATGAGGGGGAGGGGGGAGGGGGAGGGGGAGGAGGAGGAGGGGGAGGGAGGAGGAGGAGGAGGAGAGGAGGAGGAGGAGGAGGAGGAGGGGGAGGAGGAGGAGGAGGAGGAGGAGGAGGAGGAAAAAGAGGAGGAGGAGGAGGAGGAGGAGGAGTGTCATGAGTGTCGTAGATCCAGGAAGTGAGCGGCGAGCGAGGCTCAACCGTCACCCTCGGCCTCCCAGAGAGGAGGAAGGGGCCCGCAGGCGCCAGCACCGACGGTCAGGGGAAAGGCAGATACTTCGTCGCTCAGCGACTCGCTGCCCAACCGAGACGGCGTGGTGCGTAGGGGGACAGCCGATTCACCGCGTCACCGCGCAGTATTTCCCGACCGTCACCCCTGCCGAATCGGATGGCATGTGCAACTGGGCCTGTGCCCCAGGGTGAGCGGACTCAAGGTCCCAAGGGACTTACGGACCACATGGCCCCGTCTCTCAACCAAATGCACACTCCCCGTGCCTGGTACCCATCCCCAGGTCACGGGCGCAGCTAACGCGCCGCTGCCACGGGCAAAGTGACACGTGGCTGTTGCAAGAACGACGAAAGCCAGTTTATCTACCTCCAGCCGCCGCCGTGTGCCCCGAGGGATATGCGCCCCGAGGAAGGAGGAGGGAGGAGGGAGGAGGAGGGAGCAAGAGGAGGGAAAAGGAGCAGGAGGAGGAGGAGGAGGAGGAGGTGGAGACGAATCGTCTCTTTGGGGCCTTCGCGGGGCGCTCCCGGAGCGCTCTCGGGCGCTCGTGGGCCGCCTTTGGGGCTGCGTTGGGGCCCTGTTGTGGCCCGTTTTGGGGGGTGCTCTCCCGGGGCCCCATTGGGACCTGCGGTTAAGTTGGGCGTGTCCCCCTACAGGGGGATTTTTGTCTAGATTTTCTGGGGACTATTTTGAATGATTTTTTTGTGTTTCGCAATTTGGGGGTATTTTGGGGGTGTTCTTATTTTTTTCGTCGAGAATCCTTTTGTCGGGGGACACGCCCGACCTAAACCTACGGCCTCTTTCATTCAGGCGATCGCAAACATGGATTCAAGGGGGCGTGGATTAGCGACGGGTCCAGCTTCCAGGGGAAATCGCGGGCTTCCGCCGCCGAGCGAGGCGGCACCGGCCGCACTTTGGGGAGAGCACCTCCCCCGATCCATAGATTTGCCGACCGCGCGCCAAATCCATGGATCACTGATCCATGTTTGCGCGCCCCCGGTCTTCGGGACCTTCTACGGCCCCTTTCGCCCCCCACCACACCACCCCAACCCAACCCGAAGGCCTCAATTTGCCATCCATTGCCAGTGTGGAGCGGGGTCGGGGAACATTGAAAAATACATGGAGCCTCTTGGGGCTCTCTTCTTGCCCTCTTGGGGCCCTTCTACGGCCTCTTTCCCCGCCCACCAAACCACCCCAACCCAACCCGAAGGCATCAATTTGCCCTCCATGTCCAGTGGGGGGGGGCCGGGGAACATTGCCAAACACACATGGAAGCCGTACCCCCCCAACCCGAAATTCGGGCGAAAATCGGGTTTTCGGGTTGGGTTGGGGTGGTTTGGTAGGTCGTCACTCTTGGGGCCATCTTGTAGGGCGTCGATCGAAGGAGGGGGGGTCCTCGATGTCCCTCCCCCCGCCATCAATATCGCCTCCTGGGGCCCTCTTGGGGCGTTTTTGGGCCGCTCGTGGGCGCTCTTGGGGCCGTCTGGGGGGCCCCTGGGCCCAGCTTGGGGCTCTCTGGGGCCATCCGGGGGCCATTTCGAGGCCGCAAAACCGCATCGGAAGCGAAAAGGCGAGAAGGCACAATGAATGAATGTTCCATCGGTTTTGACGGATTGGGCCTCTTAGGGGGGGGTCCTGAGGGGATTCCGAGAGCACTTGGAAAAGTCTTGTGGCCCTCGTCGGGCCTTTTGGAGGTATGTTGGAAGCTACCTTGAAGCATCTTCGGCTATCTTGAGCCGCCTTTGAGGCCATCTTGGAGCATCGGGGTCTTTCCTGCAGCCACATTGGGCCATTTTGGACGCTGTGACCCCTTCCGCCCCCCGTCTACGCCGATGGAGGGAGGTGCGGCACACTCCCCGAAGGGAGGAGGGTCAAAACACACACATACACACAAACACACACACACACCACACATACACACACATTCACACACACACACACGCATACCACATATTCACACACACACACACACACACGCGCACGCGCACGCGCACGCGCGCGCGCAAAACGACAAACAAAACAAACGCGTCAGCATTCCTTAGCCAAGGGGCAGCAATATCACTCTGATCTCAGGATTGTCGTTCCTCTTGCGCGCCTAGCTTCGTTGACCTGCGGAGCCGTTGTTTCTTGCGGCATGGCTTGCGGACGGATCGTTGCGCTTGACTGTTTTTTTTTGTTGGGGGCTGGCAGGACGCGTGCACAAACGCAGCGCTTGGTCGAGGAAGGGCAACACTCAAGGGAGGAAGAACCAACTAAACCCGATCATCGGCGTTTGCTAGACGGCTTTGGGCATTTGCTACATAGCCCTGTCCTGTTCGATATCCTCTGCGGAAGCGTTTAATAGACGGCCTCGCTTGCCGGGGGGGGATAGGATTTTTTAAGCAGTGGCGAAACGTCCTAGCTCGCCTATAGCTCCACCAAACAATGTTCTAAGAACCCTGTGTGGTTCCCACGAAATCTTTTGGCTGGGGCTGTCTTGTTTCAACACATCGGGTTTCTGTTCTAAGAACATTGCCCTCATTCTTAGAACATTTTTGGGTTCTAAGAACATGTCGTGGTATGACTATAGGAATGCCGGGACGGTCGGTCCCTGCTCAAATGTTGGGTCTGGACGCCCGAAATTGGTACGGAACGAATGGGTACGATGCCCGACAGCAGTTCTTGTTCATTCTGAACAGGGTTCGCTGTCGGCGCCGCCGCGGCCTGTGTCCATTCGAGACAGGAGGCCGCCCGCCCAACAGCGGCCGCTGTCGGTTTGGGACAACCTTTGCTGTTGGGCATCGTACCCATTATTTCCGTACCCGTTTCGGGTCAGGGCTAACTCGGGTTCGTTTTTCGGGAATCCGAACCCGAGTTGCCCCGGGCCCGAGTTACCCCGGATAACTCGGGCGTCCAGGGCCCCACATCATCAGGGGTAACTCGGGTCAGGGCTAACTCGGGCTCCTTTTTTTTCGGGAATCCGAGCCCCACTTACCCCGGGCCCGAGTTACCCCGGATAACTCGGGCGTCCAGGGCCCCACATCATCAGGGGTAACTCGGGTCAGGGCCAACTCGGGTTCCTTTTTCGGGAATCCGAACCCGCGTTGCCGCGGGCGCGAGTTACCCGGGATTTCTCGGACGTCCAGAGCCCCGAATCATCAGGGGTATCTCGGGTCAGGGCTAACTCGGGTTAGTTTTTTAACTCGGGCGTTCGGGACAGCTCCAATCCTCCTCCTCCTCCTCCTCCCCTCTGGGCCCCTCTGGGCCCCAGGGTCGCCCTCCCCCCCCCCGCCAGCCCGAGGAGGGCCCGGCTCCGATCCGCGAGGGCCACGAGGGGCTCTCTGCGGCAGCCGCGCTCGTGCGGCCTGCTCCGCCGCGCTGCTCACGCCTTCTGCTGCCACGGGGTCTGCGCCAGGCTCTCGAGTTCAGGAGGGAAAGAAGCACACAGACGCAATGCATCGTCGATTCCCCCGAAAGTGTAGGAAGCTATGGGAAGTGGGGGGGAAGACAAAAGCCCAGAACATGTGCGGAAATCTTGGGAATCGTTTTACTTGTGTGTCCCAGGGCCCTTTCATACTCACGCTTTTGCTGTCACAGGGTCTGCGCCAGGCTCTCGATTGGCTCAGTGCCATTGGACTGCCAGAGACCCAGTCCAGTCCAGTCCTCCCCGCCCTCTGTCCGCCAGGTCCCATTCCGATCGGGCGGGTCCCCCTCGATGTCAGAACTGCCCCCCTCTGAGCAGATTCGGTTTCAACATGTTCCGACGATCCGCTGCGGCCCGATGCCCGCACGGCGCTGTTGCACATCCTGGCGCGGCCGATGCGAGTCGATCTGGACCTGCTGCTGGAGCCCGGTCCGACGCACGCTCCGAGCCGATGCCCCGAGCTCCCGATTCGATGTTGGTCGCTCCTGCCTCCACGGGCAAAGAACGGTATAACATGTATTTTTTCGCCGTCGGGGACGCCTGCCCCCCGGGCGGCTGAAAGGCTCACACCCATACGTGGAACCCTGCAGGGGTGCAAATGTTGCTGCCGCCGGAGATCCCCGACGGCGGCAATCAATATATGTTGTACCGCTCTTGGCCCCCTAGCTGTCCCGCTCGGCTGCTCTCTTCTCCGCCAGATGCCCGCCTCGCACAGCTCCCGGCCTCACCATCCCCCTTCCGCCCCGAGTTCGTGCACCCCTCTGCATGCCCCCCCCCCGCCGCCTGAAGCCCCCCCCCGCCCGAAGCCCCCGCCTTCTCCTCCTCATCCTCCTCCCCCTCCTCCTCCTCCTCCTCCTCCTCCTGCTTCTCCTCCTCCTCCTCCTCCTCGTCCTCCTCCCCTTTCTCCTCCTCCTCATCACCCTCTTCCTTCTCCCCTCCTCCTCCTTCTCCTCCTCCTCCTCCTCCTCCTCCTCCTCCTCCTCCTCCTCCTCCTCCTATACTGTCCCTCCTGCCCCGTCACTCCCGTGCTCCTCCCCCTCCTCGAGGAGGAGAAGTAGGAGGAGGAGCGAACAGAAGCAGCTGCAGAGGGATGGCGGTGGAGGGGGGGGGGAAAAAGGAGAAGCGCCAGCGAAGAAGCGCCACCAGCAGGATAAGGAGGAGCGGGCGGGGGGGGGGCCGGATGGAGGAGGCATGAGCCGCCAATGGAGGAGGAGGAGGAGGAGGAGGGAGGAGGAGGAGGAGAGAAGGCCTTCAATGCCGGAGAAGGAGGGGGCGAGGGAGGGAAGGGAGGAGGGAGGAAGCAGAGGGAGCCAGGAGGAGGGACTGAGGAAGAGGGAGGGATGGGGGGGAGGGAGGGAGGGGAGGGGAGGGGAGCGAGGAGGAGGCAGCGAGGGAGGGATGGGGGGGAGGGAGGGATGGGGGGAGGGGGCGAGGAGGAGGGGGGCTGGAGGGAGCTAGGAGAACGGAGCGAGGGAGCCAAAGAGGGAGGGAGGGAGGGAGGAGGGACAGCGACGGGGGGAGGAGGGCCGCCAAGGAGGGAGGCGGGGCCCCGACGCCCGCAGGCGGCGCACCCCGGGGCGTACCCCACGGCCCCGTACGCGGCGCACACGACGGCGCCGCGGGGTCCTCCTTCTCCTCCTCCTCCTCCTCCTGCTCCTCCTCCTCCCTCATCTTCCTCCTCTTCCTCCTCCTCCTTCTCTCCTCCTCCTCCTCCTCCTCCTTCTCCTCGTCCTCCTCTTCGTCGTCCTCCTCCTTCCTCCTCCCTCCTCCTCCTCCTCCTCCTCCTCCTCCTCCTCCTCCTCCTCCTCCTGAGAAGCCGTCTCTATCTCAGGAGCAGGCGCTCGGGAAAAAAAACCTCTCAGGAGGCGCGCTCGGAGCCTCTCGGGAGGCTCCCGCCCCCTCTGCCCCTTCTCCCCCATGGGCCCATGGGCTCGCCGACGCGGCGAGGCGCCCACGCCGTACGCGGCCCACACCACGGCGACGGCGTACGCCGCGCCGCAGCAGCCGGCCGCGTACACCGTGCCGCAGGAGCGGTGGCGCCGGGGCCGCGCCCCCTTCTGCCAGTCTCGGGCCGGACGAAATGGGGGGATTGGGAAAGGGGGGGGTACGAAATTTGCTGTATGCAGCTGTTTTCGGCCTCACCGAGCCCAGGAAGACGTGTCTATTTTGCGTTAGACGCGTATAGACTCGCGGCGCTCTCGTTCGAGCGCGGTGCGCGAGTGTCTAAAACAACCCGTTATAGACATGAATGGACGCGCGGCGTTCTCGATTGACGGCGTGCTCGAGTGTCTGAACGTGTATATTTTTCAAGCAGTGTCTAAGCGTTTATGCCGTGTCTATCCTGCCGTGTCTAAACATGTCTAAACGTGTCTAAACATGTCTATGTTCGCATGTATATGTCGTGTCTAAACGTGTGTAAAATACACAACACGCCATGCTGTGGAATCGCGCGCAAATGTGCCATCAGCTTGGCATGGGCATGTGGCTAGTGCCCCTGATACCGCAGATTGTAGCATGTTGGCTGGCCAGTGAAAGATGATAGAGGGGAGGACAAGGAAAAAGAGGAGGAGGAGGAGGACGAGGATGACGAGGGGGAGGAGGAGGAGGACGAGGAGTCACAGGAGGAGGGGGAGGAGGAATATCCTCAGGAGGAGGAGGAGGAGGAGGAGCAACAGCTGCAGCAGCAACAGGGGCAGGAACATGAGGAGGAGGGGGGGCAGGCGGTGGATGAACACGCGGACGCTGAAGGCGGATCACGATCATGACGATGACAACGATGATGACGATGATGCCGATGATGACGATGGGATGACGAGGGTGATGGTAATCCTGCGCACCCTCTCTGGTCCTTGCCATCCTTCTCCTTGTCATTATCATCCTCTTGCTTCTCTTCCGCTTCCTTTCCCGTTCCCTTTTCTCATCCTCTTTCAATTCCTCCTCATGTCCCTTCTCAAATGCATTGCCCATCGTCCCGCTTCCCACCTACTCCGTAACTTCATCATCCCAGCTACCCCGACCCCCATTTAGACGCCAGCGATCCCAAAATATATTCCATGCCCCAGCTTGTTTCGTGGCATTGCTCTGCCATCGACGTCCCCTGCTGGGACAACCACTGCCCGACCTTCGTGCGCGCATGTCCGTTTCTGATGTTGTCAGTCTTTACATGGTTCGTTGCGTGTTTGATTCGTGTCTAAACGAGTCGTTGCGCTGTCCGTGTCTATCCGTGTCTAATTCGAACGCGTCTAAACATGTCTAAATGTGTCTATCCGTGTCTAGAATGCACTCGTGCCTAGTTTTCCGATACGACGTGTTCAAACATATCTAAGCATGTCTAAAACAGATATTGAAACGTGTCTAATCATGTATGTGTAATAAAACACATATAAAGCACAGCCACGAAGCATTGTAATTCACAGTATACGCGACACATCAAAATAGACACGCGCGCGCCTCGTGAATGAGCGCAGAGTATCAGGGAACCGCGCGCCCGAACAGACACGACACCCTTGTCTTCCAGGGAGGGGCCCATTCCTCGATACATAGCTGCCTCCGGCACCGGGAGGCGCTTGGAACATCAGCTATAGTGAGCTGATTCTCAACCCCCCCTTTGCTATCCCCCCTTTTCGCCCGACCCGACAGTCGTCTTGCCTGAAGTCGGGCGTGGCGTTCTTCAGAGCCCCGAATCATCAGGGGTAACTCGGCTCAGGGTTAACTCGGGTTCCTTTTCGGGAATCCGAACCCGAGTTACCCCGGACCCGAGTTGCCCCGGATAACTCGGTGTGCCCATCTTCTCCTAAAACGACGCGAAGATCGGGACAAAATCGCATCGGGATAACTCGAAATCTCTGAGAATCGGCGGGTTTGGAGGACGTATTGGGCGCCGCGGCCGCTCCAGAGCGTTCCGGAACGCTCTGAGAGCGCTCCGGAACGCTCTGGAGCGATTTATCCTGATCCTAGCCCTGTTTTATCTCCGTCCGTACCCATTGCGGGCGTCCAGAGTGTGCCCCCTTCTGCCAGTCGTCTTGCCTTGGGTCTGGCATGCCTCTCTACAGGAGGGGTATCCAAGCAAAGTCAAAGAGTTACATGGGGATGGTGTTTTTACTTTTTGTTTGTGGGCATGGGTTGGGTAATTTGCATGGTTCTGCCAAAAACCGCCTGTAGGAGGACATGCCCGACCTCTTGCCCTCACGCAGCGGCAGCAGAGGTCAGCGCTAACGGGGGGTCGTCAGGGGGGGACAAGGACCTCGAAGAAGACGCACTTGCATAGACTGAAACTCTCGAAGGTTCGTGCGATTTTCTGGGATAGGCGCTGGGCCCCCCCGTAGCGGCGCCACCATGGGCGCGCTCCGCGCGCCAGGGAGGGCGTTCCAGCGCAGTTCCGAGAAATCCAAGCGAAACTCCTAAGGTATATGTTTATGGCACCGCATTTTTTTCTTTACGGGATGCCGATACCGCTGATCGTCTTGGAGATCCCTCGCCGCCGCGGCTGGATTCGCATCGACATCCCGTTCAGCGCGCGCCCCAGGAGAGGTCTGGGGAGTAGCCGTGTCGGTATGTTTTTGTTCCCCGAGGGCAGCTTATCTTCTCCGATCTTCTCGAGGTGAGAGGTTGTTGGGCGTCTTCGTCGGTTCTTGGCGGTTTCCCAGCCTGCGTGCGGTCTCCAGGAAGCTGCGCCTGGCCGACAGCCACGGCCCGGAACTGTCCGAACGGTCGTCCGAGGCCCGAGCTGTGACCCAAGCATCAGACGACCAGGATCCCCTTTGGCTGACATGGGCTTGGGAGCCACGTGGATCCGATCCGCCGCTGTCCGCCCTCTGCTGAACCTGGTAGGGGGCCACATGCGAACCCTACCCCTACCCCCACGATTTTTCAGGGGGAGGGTGGGGTTCACTTCGCTCGGGAGCTCCCGAGCGAAGTGAACCACACACCCCCCTTCAGAAATCGTGGGGGGTAGGGGTAGGGTTCGCATGTGGCCCCCTACCTGGGTTTTGGAGCTGATGAGCGGCTGGCCAGGGTGCGTGACGTGGCCCGGGTGAGCGCTGACGCTGGTCATCGCGTCCCCGAAGTCGTCGCCGTTGTCGTTGTCGGAATCGGCCGGCGGCATCGACCGATCCGCGCTATCGGAATGCCGCGATCGCCAGGTTGAACGATCCATGCGGCTCGAGAAGCCAGTGCACAAGCCGTCACGCCGCGAAATTGTCGTAGTCAACCACTCGGGTATAGCCAGGACATCATGTAAAGGGACCTGGTTAGTAGCAGGGCCCCGGAGCCCGAATCCCTGAACCAGGTCTGCCGTAGCTGGTGCTTTCTCGGGTGACGGCAGCTCCGGTTAGTGGATCGGGGCGGGTGGGGGGCGTCCCCCAGCACGCATCCTTTTCCAGGTCGCACTGAACCGAGTCCTGCCCACGCCCGAGCCATGGCCGTCCGATCGTAGAGCGACATCTGTCATCATCGGGCCCCCGACGTTGCGAGTTTGGTTCGCCGCGTCGGCCCCCCGCGGGTCTCGGCGCGTTCCCCCCGGGGACCGGTGCGTCGTCCCGCGTCGACGCGGTTGACGGCCCTGGGCCCCCGCGAGGGCCACCCGAGGCCGAGAGTTGCCCCAATGTTCAACTCGGGCATGTCCCTCTGCAGGAGGAGTCTGCAAGAAGAGTGAGACCACAGTCGCGGGGAAACGTTTCGACTGCTCCTTGGCATGTTTGGTCCTACCTGGATGAGGTGCTCGTTCTTCTTCCTAGCTCTTCCTGTAGGATGACGTGCCCGACCTAAGATGCGGGCAGTACTTATATCCATATCCAGAGCGTCGTGGACTTTTGGGGAAGAGGTGCCGCAAGGCCGAGGCGCACTGGATATGGATAAAATCGAGCCTCTTGGGGCCAGATTTTTATCCATATCCAGTGCGTCTACGGTTCCTGGGGAAGAGGGCCCAAGAATCCATGACGCACTGGATGTGGATATAATGATTGCCCGCACTGAGAGCTAAGGGCTGCCCCAATCCCTCCGTCGTGCGTTTTGTTTACAGCGCGGGGACGTTCGGACTGCCGCCGCCCCTCCGCCGGAGCCGCCGGGCGCCCACTGCCCGCCCCACCTGCCTAGGGGGGCCCGCGGGGGCCCCGTGCGGACGAGCACGCGCCGGCGTGGACCTGCAGTCGGCGCGCCTTGGAAGGACAAGGGTCAGGAGGGGAAAAAACACACAGACAAAATTCATCGTCGATTCCCCAGAAAATATGGGAAACTATGGTAAGTGGGGGGGAAGACAGACCCCAAAAACATTGGAAAATATGGGGAATAATTGTATTTGTGTGTATTTTTTTGTGTGTCTTGGGGCCCCTTCAAAGGGCGCCCTTGCGCCCTTGCCTCCTCGGCCCGTCCTCTGCCGCTTCCGTCGGCCAGTCTCTCAGGGTGCCCGTGCGGCGCCGTCCAACGATTCCGACGGAGGGGCTCCGCATGATGATCTTTTTCGTGCGCATGAGTTTCCTCATCATCGACGATTCAGTGGGGCATGTGAATACCCGTAGGACCTGTGGGTCCCGTGGGACATGTGGGACAAGTGGATACCCGTGGGACCTGCTGAGACATATGGGGCCCGTAGGACCCGCAACCTGCGGGGCCCGTGGGACCTGCGACGCCTGTGGGACCTGCGGGACCCCCAGGCCCAGTGGGACCTGTGGGACCTGTGGGCCCCTCGTTTTTTTTGTAGGACTTGAAGTGGAAACGCTATAGAACCTGTGCAACTTGCGCGGCCTGCGTTGGGCCTGTGGAATCTGTGCGACCTGTGCAACCTGTGGAACCTGTGAGATCGGTGATACCCGTGAAACCTTTGGGACCCGTGCGACCTGAGGGAGGGAGCTCCTGCGTGAGACTTTCTCGTAATGCACTCGCAGACAAGGCTCCCGCCTAAGTCTTCCTCGAGTTCACTCACAGACGAGGCTCCCGCCTGATACTCCCTCCATCTGCAGGCCTGAGGAGCCCAAACGTGAAGACAGTTACAGGTTTGAGGATGACCCGCTCAGATTGAAAACGTGAGCTGCGGGCCCCACATGGAGGAGGCTCCCACCTGAGAGTTCTTTGCAATTCACTCCCCAGCGAGACTCCCGCCTGAGACTTCCTCGCAAGGCACTCACAAACGAGGCTCCCGCTTGATACCTTCTCTATATTCAGGCCTGTGGAGCCCAAAGGTGATGACAGTTACAGGTTTGAGGACGACCCGCTCGGATTAGAAACGTTAGCTGAGGGCCCCATAGGGAGGAGGCTCCCGCCCGAGACGTTCTCGCTCATCACTCACAGACGAGGCTCCCGCCTGAGACTTCCTGGCAGTGCTCCCACAGACGAGGCTCCCGCCAGATACCTTCTCGATCTTCAGGCCTGTGGAGCTCAAAATGGAAGACAGTTGCAGGTTTGAGGATGAGACAACAAATGAGCTGCGGGCCCCACAGGGAGGAGGCTCCCGCCTGAGACTTCCTCGCAACGCGCACAAAGACGAGGCTCCCGCCTGAGATCCCCTCCATATTGAAACCCATGTAGCCCAAAAGTGACGACAGTTGGACGGTTGAGGATGACCCGCTCGGATAAAAAAAAACGTCAGCTGCGGGCCCCACAGGGAGGGAGGCTCCCGCCTGAGACTTCCTCGTAATTCACTCCCAAGCAAGGCTCCGCCTGAGAGTTTCTCGCAATGCACTCACAAACGAGGCTCCCGCTTGATACTCGCTCCATATTCAGTCCTGTGGAGCCCAAAAGTGATGACGGTTACAGGTTTGAGGATGACCAGCTTGGATATTTTTTCAAGAAAAAAGAAAGAACCCACTACATGATGTGAGAGTCCCATCCGGAGGGAGCTCTCGCCTGAGACGTGCTCGCAATTCACTCACAGTCGAGGCTCCCGTCTGAGACTTCCTCATTCAGAAGCGAGGCACCCGCTTCATATTTCTCTCCATCTCCACGCCTCAGGGCCTGACTCGTGAGGATCAAAGAGTGGATGAGTGCATGATGATGGTGATGATGGTAAGGATGATGATGATGATGCTGATGATGATGATGATGATGATGATGATGATGGTGATGGTGATGGTGATGGTGATGGTGATGATGATGATGATGATGATGATGCTGCTGATGCTGATGCTGATGGTCATGATCATGATCATGATGATGACGATGATGATCGTCATCCTGGGCATGATCATGAGCATGGTCATCATCATGATTACTGTGTGTGTGGGTGATGCTGACAATGATACTTGTGGCGATGCTAGTGAGCGAGTGGGTGAGCGAGTACGATGGCGGTGGCGAGGAAGAGGGTGAGCCAGGTCTCCTGCGCGGGGGTGTGCAGGGAAACCAAGCACCCCTTTTTGGATGTGGTCAAACGGTGCGAAGATCGGGACAACATCGGATCGGGATAACTCGGAATCTCTGAGAATCGGCGGGTTTGGAGGATGTATTGGGCGCCGCGGCCGCTCCAGAGCGTTCCGGAACGCTCTGGAGCGATTTATCCCGATCCTAGCCCCGTGTTATGTGGGGAAGAAGTTCAACTTGGGCGTCCAACGTCTCTGATTCTCTGGCGCGCGTCCTTACCATAATTTTTCACTGCAGTGTAGGATGACGTTCGAGGAGAAAGGGGGGACACATTGAACCATAGTTTTCTGCCGCTGGTCGAGTTCGGAGAGGGTGGTGCGCGCATTCCAATGATGAAGACTCCCACGACAGGCCCGGAACCGGATCGCTTATCATCGCCCAGGGCAGAGCTGCGTGACGGTTTCCCTGCAGTTCACCGGTTGCAGCAATGTATCATGCTGCAGAACGCCGCTTTGCGGCCGTGGCCTGTACTCGCGCTTTGCGGCCGGGGCCGGAGAGCTGGCCTTCTCCAGCGGGCGGCTCGGGGGCGTGAAGGTAACCGAGTATTTCTCATCGCGAAGCGCGATGCTCGTGGTGAAAGGAAGGGGTCCTGAGGTAAGCGGGTCCTGGAGTTTGGGGCCGTTTCCAGGCTCCTTGGGCCCTTTGCTTGCCACGGGACCGTCAACAACGATTCTGTATGCAAGGCTTGTTCGGGGCGAAGCGCGTGGTTCAGGACCTGTTTCCCCAACACGCGTGTCGGAGGCGTCCAAGAGAGGTGTAACGATTCAACGCTGGTCGTTGGAAGTGGGTGTTTCTGGATCCCCAGATCCTCATCTACTTTAGACGCCCTTTTACTTCAAGGACCGAGCGATGTTCCCTCTCCTCTCCTGTTCAGGGGACGGGCGGAAGCCCAGCCTGCTTCCAACGCCTTCCTACTTCTTGCGACCGACGGGTAGGAGTGCGGGGCCACGACATCCATGCAGATCTCGTGGCACCCTCCTTTCGGGCGGGTGGTAATGGGGGGTCCCCCAAAAAATGGGGGGTGCAGGAAGGGGCCCTGCAGGGACACTTTAGGATTCCTCTTGGCGCCAGCAGAGGCCCTAAAGGGGCCCCTTTAGGGCATATTTCTTCACCTCCCACTCAGGCCAGAGAGGAAGAGGAGGAGGAGGAGGAGGAGGAGGACATTACCACCCGCCCGATCCTTCCTCTTCCAGCACACCCCAAGGTCCCCACTCGTCCGCGCCCTCATGCCGGGCGCCATGTTGCGCACACACCCTCTTCCCGCTCTTTTCGGGACGCTCGAGATCTGTTTACACACCGGTCGTTGAAAGTAGGCAATCCTGGATATCCAGGTCCCAATATGTTGTGGGCGTCTCCCTGCTTCAAGAGTCTAGCGGTCCTCCCTCTTCCCTCCTTTCCCAGGGGTGGGCGGAGACCCATTCCGCTTCCAACGCTGTCCTACCTCATGGCTCCACCCACTTCTTTCGACCGACTGGTTCGGAAAGAATGGGTACAGAGACCGACAGCAGTTCCTGTTAATTTTGAACAGGGTTCGTTGTACGCCGCGGACGTTGCCCATTCGAGAACAGAAGGCCGCCCGCCCAGCAGCGGCCGCTGTCGGTTTCGGACAGCATTCCTTAGCGGGCATCGTGCCCATATTTTCCGTGCCCACTTCGAGCGCCCACATCCCTGGCGCACCCGGCAATCCCCGTCATGCCAACATGCGCGAAGTGGGGCGGCGGCCTGACTAACGCACGCCTCCCGCACGCCGCCGAGAGGGCGATGGCGTAGACGGGGCGGCCTCGGGCGGGCCGCTATAGCGCCCCCCCGAGCCAGGGGTACACGCAGCCGACTACGTACGCCATCCCTCAGGCGGCCGGCGCCCCCCGCCCCGCTGGGAGCGTCGTCCCAGACCTCCGAAGTGGGTAGGGAGGAAGGGGAGCAGGGGGAGGGCAAAGGTTCTCCTCCTCCTCCTCCTCCTCCTCCTCCTCCTCCTCCTCTTTCTCCTCCTGGACTTCCTGCTCCTCCTCCTCCTCCTTTTTCTCCTGCTCCTCCTCCTGATCCTCCTCTTCCTCCTCCTCCTCCTCCTCCTCCTCCTCCTCCTCCTCCTCCTCCTCCTCCTCCTCCTCCTCCTCCTCCTCCTCCTCCTCCTCCTCTAGGGGGTCCTGGAAGCACTGCGCCCACAGGGCCCCGCAGGAAGGGCACAGAGGCCTGGGAAGAGGGAAGGGCACACTTGCAATTCCACCTGCGCCGTCACTCGTCCGCTTCCATCCGGGTCGCCCACGCGGGGCGCGCCCGAAGACAGCCGCGCTTCGCGGTCCCGAGTAGCCGCCCTTCTCCCGCAGAGCGGCCCCCCCGGCACCCGAGGGCGCGGAGACGACGAGCCAGGTGGCCAGGGAGAGGTGTTGTGCCGGGAGGCTTGCGGCGGGGAGAGAGGTGGAGGGAAGGAGGGAAGGAGGGAATTCTGCGACCACTTTCGAACGCTACCTCCTCCTCCTCCTCCTCCCTCCTCCTCCTCCTCCTCCTCCTCTCCTCCTCCTCCTCTCTCCTCCTCCTCCTCCTCCCCCCTCCTCCTCCTCCTCCTCCTCCTCCTCCTCCTCCTCCTCCTCCTCCTCCTCCTCCTCCTCCTCCTCCTCCTCCTCTGCTTCAGGGGGCTACTCCTGCCGCGGGCCTGCCTAGGGATTTCGCCCCCCTCTCTGGTGCAGAATACGAGCTCCTCTTCGGCTGGCCGATGCCAGCGACCTTGCCTTTTGGAGAGGAGGCCCCGGCGCGGTAGCGGTGTGCCGCCTGTGCAAAGCTGCGCCGCTACTTGACAAAGTACGTGATGGGCCGTCTTTCCAAGACTGTTCGTCCTCCTCCTCTTGCTCCTCCTCTTCCTCCTGCTCCTCCTCCTTCTCCTGCTTCTCCTCCTCCTCCTCCTGCTCCTCCTCCTCCTTTTCCTCCTCCTTTCCTCCTCCTCCTCCTCCTCCTCCTCCTCCTCCTCCTCCTCCTCCTCCTCCTCCTCCTCCTCCTCCTCCTCCTCCTCCTCCTCCTCCCCCCTCCTCCTCCTCCTGCTCCTTCTCCTCCTCCTGCTCCTCCTCCTCCTCAAGTGGCTGGCGAGGTGCCCGCTCTGACCCGGCGTGCACACGCTACCCCTCATGGGTCCATTCGACGCTAGGCTATCGGACGCCCCTGCTGGAGTTCACTTGGCTGCAGACATCCTTCGTTTTTGGAACCCCAGCCGGGTTTTTCCGAAGTCTGACTTGCAGGGGCAAGGTTCACGTGAGCGACGCACTAATAAGCAGGGTTCGATTGCGCCGATACTGGCGCGTAAGCTGCTCGCGTAATGTCGCGCGTGAGCGCCTTCGTTTCCAATGTGGTTTGCCGCGCTGGCGGCCCTCATAACTCATAAGCCACCGCGTAAGGTCGCTACGTCATCTCGCGTAAGACCCGTTGTTGATCGTCGCCCACGTGTGTTTGCCTGGGGATGGAGGTTTCCGCTTTCTCCGCCCTGTGTTGCCACATGCGAGTATTAGGTCCCCAGTGCCCCGACGAGCACGCGGGGCGGGGGGAGAGTCGGCGGGCCTTGCTCGCCCCCATCCCTCAACACAGTGAAACAGGATCAGAATAATGACTTGGCATCGCTCGGACGTGTGCATTTTTTCTCGGCGAGGGCCATCGAGGAGCATCCTCGATCATTTGGCGAAAGAACCACGCACGAAACCGAAAAAAACGCAGGGAATGGACGCCCGAGCGATGGCGAGATGAGCGATTAGCTTTCCAAGTTGTCGCCGGATTCGAGAACGAAGCGATGGGGGTCGCATTTTTTCGGAGGGGTTTGATTTTTTTGTGCTGTCCTGGAGGGTTCCCGCGGGGTCTGGGCGGGAGGCCGCCCTCTCATGGTTGGTCGGGGGGTGGGGCGCCTGAAACGGATCGCCTGGGAGAGTTGTGACCCCCTTCGCTTTCATTACAGTCGGGGCGCTGACTAAGGAACCCTTTTTGTTGGGGAGGAGCTCGGTGTCCCTTGATTGTTTTACATTTTGCCTGGGTGTTCCTTAGGTTTCCATGGGGAATCAAAGTTTCAGTTAAGGGGAACAGGGGCCTCGTTCCTTATTTAGGGTTTTCCTTAGGTCAACGCCTCGACTGTACGGTTGGGGGGGGAGGGGGGGGGGGGGGGGGGGGGGGCGCCGCCTGAGGCCCCGCCTTCCTGTGCCCTGTCTCCCTAATTGAAGCTGTGCGTAGCCCGCCTAGCTTTCAGCGGCAGCGGTTCGCTCTCGCCCCGCAGATCGAAACAAAAGCTCTCATTACGAAGTTCGGAGTAGCTTTCCAAGGCTACCCGCTCATCCTTACACCTTCCTTCGTCCCATGCCACCGTCGCTGGCCCTGTTCGCTCGACAGGCTTCGGCTTGGGCGTGCAAGGTCTCTGGGCCCTCCGCCCGCACCCCCACAATCCTCTTGCGCTGTACCTCGCCCCGTCCCTTGAGTCGGGCATGTCCCTTTTACAGCGGCTAATCAAGAATAGTCAGAGATCAGGCCAGAGACGATGTTTCGAGCGTTATTTGTCTATGTTTGAGCATGTTTGACTCTCTTGTATTTTTCGCAACAAATCCGCCAGTAGGAGGACGTGTCCGACCAAACCCTTCCCCTCTCCCTCCAGCCAGCTTTCCGCCTCCACTGGGCCGTGGCCTCGTCCCCCTGCCTCCGGCCGAAGAGTGCCGAGCACGCCTGCGTTCGGTAGCAAGTCATCGGAGCCTGGCATACCCTCTGAAGTTCCGTTTTTGGCGTCGACCAGCGTCGATTAGCGTTTGGAGCCGATGAGATAGCGCCGATCTAGCGTCGGTCAGCGTCGATGTAGCATCGGGCCGGCTCGCAAGAGCCAACAAGATGGTGTGGGAGGTTCCCACGAGTTGCCACAGAGTCCCCCGCTGCCTCCGATCGGAGGGTGTCGAGCACACCTGCGCATCGAGCCTGCCCAGGCTGGTCGGGCCAGTCCCGGGCCCAGGCCAGGGGCACCTGCCTTCTCTGGCGGCCGCCGCCCCCGCTCTCGCCGCCGCCGCCGCCTCTGCGAGGAAGCGTCGGCAGCCCCTTCCTGTCTTGTGCCTCGCTGCCCGCACGATCTGCTGGCCTGGCCTCGTCGCTGTCCGACCCCTGACCTTCCAGGAGAGCTAAAAAAATAGCACGCGACTTGAAAACCTATCCCAGAGCTATTCTACGTCTTGGTTTCAGGCTGTTTCGTCTCGTGTTTTAGCTTTTTAAGTCTCCAGTGCTAACACATAGCTCTCTGGAAGGTCAGGGACAGGCCTCCCGCCGTCGCCTCCCCGCCCTCGACGCCCTCCGCCTCGCCGCCCGCGGCCGTGTCGGCGCCCTCGCGGCCCCGCGGGGGCTCCTCGCCAGCAGGCAGCGCCCCCCGCGCGGGCCTCCCGGCAGTCCTGGGCCGGCCTCCCCGTTCTGCAGCGCCGCCCCAAGGCCGTTCTGCGAGCGCCCCCGGCGACCCGCGTTAAAACGACGCGAAGATCGGGACAACATCGGATCGGGATAGCTCGAAATCTCTGAAAATCGGCGGGTTTGGAGGATGTATTGGGCGCCGCGGCTGCTCCAGAGCGTTCCGGAACGCTCTGAGAGCGCTCCGGAACGCTCTGAGAGCGCTCCGGAACGCTCTGGAGCGATTTATCCCGATCCTAGCCTTGTGTTAGTTCTGCGAGCGCCCCCAGCGACCCACGTGCCGTTTCCGCCGCGGCCTCCCGAGGCTGCTCTCGGCCCGGCTTCCTTTTGCGGAGGCCCCGGGAGATCGACTATAGACGTAAGAGTGGCCTTTCGCCGGAGAGACTTTTGGTGCGGGCCAAATGGGGCCCCCAGATCGCCGAACGCGAGGCGGCAGTGGCGTCTTGCGCGCTTGCGTTCGGCCCCCCCGCGGCCCCCCAAAGGCCGCGCACCAAAGGTCACTCTTGCCCAGGGTCACTCTTGCGTGTAGCCGAGGAGAGGCCCCCTCTCATGTTCGCCAGAACTCCAGCGCAGGGAGTTCTGTCGCAGCGTCAGCCCCCACAGGTCTGGACCCCTTCCCCGTTTCCGGCCTTCATCCCGAGCGTTGTGGTCTCAGCAGTCCGTTGGCCAGTGAAGGCTCCCAGAGGCCGAAGTCGGTCAGAAACACTCCGTCGTATGTTCTTTCGGCTGCGCGAGCAAGAAGGTCAGGGCATGCCAGATCCTTCGTTTGGCCTTGTTTCTTTTTGGAGGCCCCAGTAGAGGCCCCCTCAACCTCCTCCTACCCGTGGCCCCTCCTCCGTGGCCATATGGGCTCAAGATGATTGACGTGCCTTGGCACTACCGGTTCTACGAGGATACGGCCGAGAACATTTCTATACCGATCGTCACACATGATGGATTTAATGTATCAGTATTCCCTGGCTGGTTGCGAACGTCCGCTGCTACAAGCCAAATTCCGGGAGCTATCTGATCTTCAAAACGTGCTGAATGCCAACAATTACGGTGAGAGTAGCCGTGTTTCATGTCTCAGCAGTGCGCGGTCACGATTGCAATCAGGTGATGACAGGCCGTTTTTGCAGTTAATTCAGAGCCACCAGATGAATCAGTGGATGGAGCAGGTCCTTCGAGGAACGTCACACGTCGGTCACGACAGCGATTGCGATCCGATGAGCAGGGCAATTGTCACGAAGGTGATGTTCGTCTGGAATCCAAAGTTGTGGGAATCTTATTCGAGGGACAAGGCTCGAATCAGGAGCGTCCGATGCTGCGGTGGCCAGCGGCTTGACCGCATCCAAATGTCCACCGCCACGGAGAGGATGCAAATGAGCTGTGGCCAAGCTCTTCATTGGGTCAAGTTGGACAAAGATCTGAATGATATTTGGGCCTTCCATGGCACCAGGTCAGATCGAGCGAAGAATATTTCAAGCACTGGATTCGACACTGGCCGTATTCTCCACGGTTACTATGGTAGAGGATTCTATTTGGCGCAGGAGTCTTGCAAGGCCTACCAATACACCGATATAGGCAGGTTTGGAGAACATGCGAATGCCCAGGAAGGCTGCATCATAGTTTTTCGCGCCGTGGTCGGCCAGCCCGAGTACATCACGGCCCAAGACCCCAGCAAGATGGAACCAGCTACAGGCTGCGACGCTGTGGTTGTCAATCCTGGCGAAGAGGGTGGGCCTCCTCTCCAACAACATCAGGAGCTATGCCTCTTCAACAAGAACCAAACACACCCTGAATTCATTGTCTACTTCCGGATCCCGTCCGAAGTAGAGTGGGAAGACATGATGAGATTTCCTTCGCTCCGCACGGTCGCAAACGTATATAGTTGCCTTTGGGCATACGCCGCCGCCGCATTCGGGTTCTGGGCCAGAGGCTTCTTGGATGCCTGGGGAGGTTCTGGGGAGGCCTCTCGGAAGCACCCTGGAGGCGGTTTCGGCGTGCCTTTGGGGGCCTCGTGTGGCCTTCTCTGGACATCTTGGGGACCTCCCGGGGCCTCGCAAGGGGCCTCTCCGCAGCCTGCCGGCGGTCTCGGGGGCTCAAGATGCCCTTCCGAGTTCCCCCTTTCTGGGGCGCTCCTGAGGCCCTCGAGGGCCGTCTTGGGGGTCATGCGGAGGCCTCCGAGGCCGTCTTGGAGGTCCTATCGTCCGCATGGGAGCGCCGGAAGCCTCAAACGGCGAGAAGGCCAAGATCATGCAAAGGCCAGTACGGATCACCACCTTGGTTTGCAGATTCTTCTTCTCTTGGGGGGCCTCGTGGAACCGTCTTGGGGCGTCTCCGGGGCTTACTGGGCGGTCTTGAGGCTCGTGCCTCGGGCACGATGGCGGATACGGCGACACCGATGATGCTGAATCTTGTAGTGGCGAGGACGTTTCTCAGGCTGATGAAACTTATGACGATGACTCTCCCGAACACTACATCGGAGACTATGATGACCTGAATTCCGAAGACCCCGCAGACGAGTACATCGGTGATTATAACATTAATGACGAGCAAGATATGACAGACTGGCATGGGTCTGAGGGTGACGTCCCAGAGCCTGACGTGGACGACCACCCCTTCGATGTACTCGATGTGCCAGATTCAGGTGACGTTTTCCTAGACGGCACGGTTGAATCAGACTACTCGGATGATTTCCCCAGCTCCATGGATGACCCAGGCTTCGATGACGCATGTTCCAATTACAGCTGATTGGGCATGCGGGCATTCTTCCAGGGGCATTCGCAGAACAAACATTGTCTCACCAAGTCGCGTTCTCGCCAAATCATGCGGTCGTTTGGGATGTTCGCTCCTCCTGCGTTTTGATGACGTTGGTATCGTGGTGGGCGCTGCCATCCCCCTCCTGGCGGCGCTCTGCCACCAGGGAGGCCGAGTAACAGAACTCAAGAGCCCTGGGTGGAGAGCGAGGGGAGCGACGTCGGACGGGGCTACGACGAGGATAAATCCGTTCTTTCTGAGAGCGTTCTGGAACGTTCTGAGAAGGTCGCGGCGCCCGAGACACCCTCCAGAACCACCAGATATCAGAGATGCTCGATTTATCCCCACCCGATTTGTTCCTCGTCCTGACTTCGTCTTACCCTGGGTTTCAGAGCGAGGGGAACGACTGAGGATGTCGGGGGACGACAGGGCGGAGGGAGGCACCTGCCAAGCAGGGGACTGGGCAGAGGAGGGCAACCCGGACCGCGGAAGCCCTCTGCCCAGGGCAGGGTGTCCTGCCTAGGGAGTGGGGCGTCCGCAGCAGTGGCCGCCCCCCTACCCCCCCCCTCCTCCTCCCCCTCCCCCTCCTGCTCCTCCTGCTCCTCCTCCTTCTCCTCCTCCCCCTCCTCCCCCTCCTGCTCCTCCTTCTCCTTCTCCTCCTCCCCCTCCTCCTCCTCCTGCTCCTCCTTCTCCTCCCCCTGCTCCTCCTCCTCCTCCTACGCCCCCTGGCGGCGCGATCGGCCTCTGTGGCCGAGCTCGCTCCGCCGTGCCGTGCTCCGCGCGGAGGGGGAATGCCTTTTCTGGGTGGGTGTTGTCCTCCGTCTCTCCTGCACTTTGCCCCTGTCCCCCAGCCCACAGACCCCCGACGCCACCCAGCCATCCTGGTGGCGTTGGGCCCTCGTGTTGAAGAGACAGCGCCTCGCGTGCCTCTCCTTTCCTTCTCCTCCTCCTCCTCCTCCTCATCCTCCTATTCCTCCTCCTCATCCTCCTCCTGCTCCCCTTTCTCTCTCTCTCTCTCCCCCCCCATTATCATCAGCATCGTCATCATCATCATCAGCGTCGTCGTCATCATCATCCTCATCCTCATCCTCATCATCACATAAGCATAATGATACGCATAAGCATCATAATCCTCAGCATCATCATTACCATCTTCATCAGCAGCAGCAGCACTATCACAACAATCAGCAGCAGCCTCATCATCATCATCATCATCATCATCATCATCATCATCATCATCATCATCATCATCATCATCATAATAAGCAACAGCCGCATTAGCATCGTCAGCATCAGCAGCATCATCATCATCAGCAGCAGCATCGTAAACTTCAGCATCAGCATCAACGCCATCAGCATCAGCAGCAGCATCACATCATGCGCATCATGATCATCATCACCATTATCACAATCAGCAGCATCATCACTATCACCATCACCATCAGCATCAGCAGCATCATCTTCATCATCAGTTTATCTTCACCTTCATCAGCAGCACCATCATCATCATCAACCACAACAATAACAACATCACAATCGTCACCTACAGCGCTTCGTGGTCTCATAGGGAGCTCCATCTAAGGTCTCAATTGCGCAGTTCGCATGCGTCTCCCCCACCCAGTACAGCGCTTCGTGGCCCCATACGGAGCTCCACCGAAGGTCCCATTGGCGCAGTTCGCATGCGCCTCCCCCACCCAGTACAGCGCTTCGTGGCCCCATAGGGGGCTCCACCGAAGGTCACAGTGGCGCAGTTCGCATGCGCCTCCCCCTCCAAGTACAACGTTTCGTGGCCCTAGAGGGAGCTCCACCGAAGGTCCCAGTGGCGCAGTTCGCATGCGCCCCCCCCCCCCCCACACAGGACGGCGTTTCGTGGCCCCATGGGGAGCTCCGCCGAAGAACACAGTGGCGCAGTTCGCCTGCCTCTCCCTCACGCAGTACAACGATTCGTGGCACCAGAGGGAGCTTCACCGAATGCCCCAGTGGCGCAGTTCGCCTGCGGCTCCACCAACCAGTACAGCGCTTCGTGGCCCCACAGGGAGCTCCGCCGAAGGTCCCAGTGGCGCAGTCCGCCTGCGTCTCCCCCAACCACTACAGCGCTTCGTGGCCCCAATGGAAGCTCCGCCGAAGGTCCCAGTGGCGCAATTCGCCTGCGTCTCCCCAACGCAGTACAGCGCTTCGTGGCCCCATAGGGAGCTCCGCCGAAGGTCCCGCTGGCGCAGTTCGCCTGCGTCTTCAAAACGAAGTACAGCGTTTCGTGGCCTCATGGGGAGCTCCACCGAAGGTCCAAATGGCGCAGTTCGCATGCGTCCCCCCCGCCCAGTACAGCGCGTCGTGGCCCCTGGGGAGCTCCGCCGGAGGCCCCATTGGCTGCGTTCGCATGGGGTTCCGCCCCTCTTCCGGCACAACCCTCAGCGGTTCGTGGCCCCATGTGGAGCTCCACCGAAGGCCCCAGTGGCGCAGTTCGCATGCGGTTCCACCCGCCTTCCAGCACACCTCTCACAGGTATTGTGTCCACATGGGTAGTTCCACCGAAGGCCCCAGTGGTTACGTTCGCATGCGGTTCCACCCCCCTGTTGGCACACCACTCACACGTTTCGCGGGTCTCATGGGGAGCTCCACCGAAGGCTCCAGTGGTTGCGTTCGCATGCGGTTCCACCTCCGTTCCGGCACACCCCTCACAGTTTTGATGGTTCCATAGGGAGTTCCGCCGAAGGCCCGAGTAGTTGTGTTCGCATGCGGTTCCACCCCCATTTCGGCACACCCATCACACATTTTGTGGCCTCATGGTGAGCTCCACCGAATGCCCCAGTGGTTGCGTTCGCATATGGTTCCACCCCCATTTCGGCACACCTCTCACAGGTGTTGTGGCCCCATAGGGAGCTCCGCCGAAGACCCCAGTGGCTGCGTTCGCATCTGGTTCCACCCTCATTTCGGCACACGCCTCACGCGCTTCGTGGCCCCATAGAGAGCTCCACCGAAGGTCCCAGTGGCGCAGTTCGCATGCGGTTCCACCCTCATTTTGGCACACGCCTCACGCGCTTCGTGGCCCCATTGAGAGCTCCACCGAAGGTCCCAGTGGCGCAGTTCGCATGCGGTTCCACCGCCATTTCGGCACATCCCTCGCACGTTTCGTGGCCCCTAATGGGAGCTCCACCGAAGGCCCCAGCGGCTGCGTTCGCATGCGGCCAGGGAGCTCCACCGAAGGAAATTATCACGACTGCGGCATTCACAACTGCATATGGTTGGACGACGTGGGCCCCCAGAGGTCTGAAAGAGCTCGCTCCGTGGACGCTGTCAATGCGGGGGGTTCGAACCATGGGGGGCCTCGCTCTCTGGAGTACAAGGGGAGGGTTCGAACCATCCCCACCCCCTGACTTCAAGGGGGGGTTCGAAGCACCCCCACCCCGCACCTCTGAAGTTCAAGGGGGGGGGTCGAACTGGGTCCCTCCCCACATTTTGGCCCCCGGTGGCAACTGACGACGGCTAGCGCTGGCCCCGGCGACTGCGCCGTCGGTCGGGCAACGAAGACGACGATGATCGAGCCTTCGTAGAATGCGCTAAGCTCTAAGGCTGGATCGGGCCCTACTGAGATGGAATTGAAGCCAGGCCGAGCCCCAGTAGGGTTCACTTAGAGCTGGACCGAACCCTATCAGGACTCAATTCGAGCTGTGTTTAGCTATAGTCTGATTTTACGAGATCCGGGTAGAGCCCGACTAGGGTGCCGTTCAAGGTGGATCCAACTTTACAGGGATGTCATCAGAGTTTGGTCGAGCCCTACTAGGATTCAATTTGAGGTGGCTCCAGCTACACAAAGGTTGTATTAGAATTTGGTCGAGCCCGACTTGGATGCTAGTAAAGTTCATCCCAGGTATCGTAGGATTATGTGACTGCTTCCCCACCGCGCACTACCAGAATTCTGTCCTGGGGAGGGGGGCGGTTAGAGAGGCCCGTGTCCTGGGATTGGGTTTTCACCCTGAGCGGTTGTTTTACGGTCTTGGGCCCTGGTGAACCTTCGGCCTGTTCCGTTACAGTGTCTGGATTGCGGTTCATATGTGTCTAGAATGTTCGTTGGGATGGCGCGGGGGGCCTTCGGGGGGCCTCTTGGGGGCCATGTGGAGGCCTTTTGGGAGCCGTTTCGGGGCTTCTTGGTGCGTCTTGAGGGCCTCGAAGGCGTCGTGGCGCGTCCTTGCGCGGAAGACTCGGATTTTCCGTTCGTGTTCCCCCTCTTCGGTGTTCTAGAGGCTATTTGTGGGGCCTCTTGGGCCGTCATGGGCGCCTCTGGGGCCGTCTTGGAGCCCTCTGGGGCCGTTTGGGGGGGCCTCTTGGGCCGTCTTGGGCGGTCTTGGGGGTCTTGAGGCCGTCTTGGGGCGTTGGAGAAGCTCAAACAGTGGAGGACTCCAAAACATTGGAAATCTTGGGCTTAGGAAGGCTTTGTTTGGGGGGCGCCTCGAAGGCCTCTTAGGCTGGTCTTGGGGCCTTCTCGGGCGTCTTTGACCGATCGTTCGGCGCGTCGGGGCTCTCTTGTACTGTCTTGGGGGCCTTTGGGGGCTCTGTTGGCCCGTTTGGGGCCTTCCTGTGCCCGAACAAGGCACGCGACAAAACCCGACAGGCCCCAGTGCCCATCAAGCGCGCCCCTAGAGATTTAACAGTTTTGGATCCGAGCCTTTCAACACCTTCAGGATCGAGGATTGAAACTTAAGGGATCAGGCCAAGGACCTGCGGACACTCCGACTCGTGCCTCAAGGGCACGGTGGCGGGTATATCTAATAGTCTCCGGCCCATCTCGCAACCGTGCCTTGGTTGTGGGCCATGGGCCTCTTGGATGTTGTTGGGATAGCGCGGCGGGTCCCCAGGGGGCTTCCTGATTGCCGTTTGGAGGCCTCTTAGGATCCGTGCTGAGGCCTCGTTGGGCGTCCTGAGGGCCCCTGGGGGGTTTCTTGTGGCCTGTTCGCGCCTTCTTTGGCCTCTTGGTGGCCTCTTAGAGCAGCCTTATGTGTTCCCCCTCTTGGGCCTTTCTTGGGGCTGACTGTGGGGCCTCTTGGGCCGTCATGGGCGCCTCTGGGGCCGTCTTGGAGCCCTCTGGGGCCGTCTGGGGGGGCCTCTTGGGCCGTCTTGGGCGCTTCTGGGGCCGTCTTGGAGCCCTCTGGGGCCGTCTGGGGGCCTCTTGGGCCGTCTTTGGGCGGTCTTGAAGGCCTTCTCGGCCGCTCGTAGCGATGGAAGCTCGAACAGCTGAGGACGCCAAAAACATTAGAACACCTAAGGCTAATCAGTGATTTTGGAAGTCTTGGACCGACTAATCGGCGATTCGGGGCCGTCTTGGTGGGGGCCTCTCGGGCCCCTCTTCGCCGGTCTCGGGGCCCTCTTGGGCCCGATTTGCGAGAAGACGCCAGGAGCCCCAGGGGCCACGCGGCCAGCCAGGGAAGTTTTTGCGAATTTGGGGTCGGGCCCTTGAAATTTCTGCCAGGATTGAGGACTGAGGCTCCACGTGATCGAACAAGGAGCCTGGAAGCACACCAACTCGTGCCTCGAGGGCACCGTGGCGGATACACATACATATATGCATACACACATTCATACATATAAGTGGTTGGTATATGTTTACACATGTATATATATATATGTGTGTGTGCAGACCTTACATTCACATGTATATACATGCATGTCTGAATGCATGCATGCATGACTATATATATATATATATGTATACGTGCACATATGCATGCATGCATGCATGCATGCATGCATGCATGCATGTATGAAACTATGAATGTATGCATGTATGTATGTGTGTATGTGTGTATGTCTGTGTTTGTGTGTATGTGTGTATGTGTATGTTCGTGCTCCCGTACAACTCTATGTGTCAGTGTGTGCCCGTATGCTTGTTTGTCTCAATGTATGTATGCGTTTCGATGTATATTTGTGTAGGTGTGTTTGTTTGTTTGTATGCTTGCATGTACGCACATATGTGTGTACGGATGTATGCATGTACGTATGCATGTGTGTGGGCATGTATGTGGGCATGCATGCATGTATGCATGTATGTATGCATGCATGTATGCATGCATGCATGTATGCATGTATGTTTGTGTGTGTGATTGTATGCATACATGCATATGTATATTTGTGAATATATATATATATATATATATATATGTATGTGCCTGCATTGATTCACGTATGCATGTGCGTGTGCACAGTTAAGTACACGCGCATGCATGAATTCATGCATTTATGGTTGTATGGATGCATGTATGTATGTACGTATGAATCCTTGCATGCAGGCAGGCATGTGTGCCTGCTTGTATGTATGTATGTATGTATGTATGGATTGATGTATGTATGTATGTATGCGTTTATGTATGTATGTATCAATACATGGATGCATGCATGTAGGTATGCATGTATGTATGCATGCATGTATGAATGTATGTATGTATCGGAGGTTGGGGGTGAGATCGCAGTTGAACGGAGATCCCCAACCGGGAAATCGTTTCGTTTCGTTCGCGTCGTGCGTGTGGGCGAGGCGAAGCTGCGTGGGCGCACGAGACGAATGAACCCGCCGTTGCCAGGGTGAAGGCGAGACAAATGATTATCCCCCGTCTGTTCGTCCGTTCGGCGGTGGCCCTAGCGGTGTCCCGAGGTGTCCCATGGTGTCCCGTGGTGTCCGCCGTTGTTAGGGCGAAGTCAAGACAAATGATTCTCCCCCGTCCGTCCGTTCGTCCGGCGGTGGCTCGCGGTGTCCCGCGGTGTCCCGTGGTGTCCTGTGACATGTGGTGTCCCGTGGTCTCCTCCGCTGCTAGGGCGAAGTCAAGACAAATGATTCTCCCCCGTCCGTCCGTCAGGCGGTGGCTCTCCCGTGGTGTCTCGTGGTGTCCAGTGGTGTCCCGTGGTGTCCTGTGGTGTCCTGTGGTGTCCCGTTGAGTGAGATCGATACTGAAATCGATACTGAGATCGATACTGAGAGCGATACTGAGATCGATATGGTGCCCCGAGGTGTCCCGTGGTGCTCCAAGTGAGATCGATAGTGAGACCGACAGTGAGATCGACAGGTGTCCCGTGATGTCTCGTGGTGTCCCAAAAAGTGAGATCGACAGTGAGATCGATAGTGAGATCGACAGGTGTCCCGTGGTGTCCCGTGGTGTCCCGTTGAGTGAGATCGATAGTGAGATGTGGGATCGATGTGGTGTCCCGAGGTGCCCGTGGTGTCCCACGATGTCCCGTAGTGTCCTACGGTGTCCCGTCTAGTGAGATCGATAGTGAGACCGATAGTGAGATCGAGAGGTGTCCCGCGATGTCCCGTGGTGACCCGTGGTGTCCCGTAGTGTCCCGTTGAGCGAGATCGATAGTGAGTTCGATAGTGAGATCGACAAGTGTCCCGTGGTGTCCCGTGGTGTCCCGTTGTGTGAGGTCGATAGTGAGATTGTGTCAGATGTTGGTTCCCCCCCTCCCCCCCCACAACCTCTTTATCACCCGAAGGATGGTCGTATAGGTATGTAGGTATGCATGTATGCTAGTATGCAGACTTCCAGACTTCCTGGCGGTATGAAAAAAAATCGCGACGGCTGTGAGTGCCCGTCGTCCTCCTCCGCCCTTCGCGGCCGCGCTCCGCCTTGGTCCCTCCCTCTTGCCGTCGGACCACTCGTGTGAGCCACTGCCTGGCTCACTGGGGGACCCCGTGCGGATTGCCTCTGCCGCGCTGCGGCGCAAAACAGAAGTCTCCGGTTTCTGCCTCTGGGAGCCCTTGCCGGCCCTGGGGCCGTCAGAAAACGACGTGGGATGAACAACGGGTCACGGGAAAGTTTAGGAGGGAACCTGGTAATCAATAACACGCCGCAGATGTCAGCCCATCAGCGTATTTTTTGTTTTGTTGTTGCCCGGACACTTGATGCGTCTTCAAGAGCAGCACGCTGATCGGATTCCCACGGTGGCGTATCATTGATAGTGCGTTTGTTCCCTCAAAAGGGGTCGAGACCTGTGGGGGGGGGCCACCTTCCCAAAGGGCTTGACAATTTGTCCCCCATCGACGTGTAGGATCAAGCTGGGGAAATTCATGCGAATCAGAAAATCCAAGTGCATCGAGGTACATCCAGGGATCTCCAGGGACATCTGGAGCAAATCATGGAAGTTCCAGCGCGAGTCGAGAGAGCAGCAGAGGACGTCGAAGCTTCCGAGAGTCCGCCGCCTCCCGCGTCGCCGCAGGATGCCTCGCAGCAGCTCCAGACCGCGGCGTCCATGGTCGCGTGCCCCCCCCCCCCCCAGGGCTCGTCTCGGTTCCTCCGATCCGATGCGCTTCCATTTCGAAGGCTTCCGGCTCCGATTCGTCTCGGCCCCGAATTCCGACCTGGTTTTGCCCACTTCGCCATGGCGGCCTGCGCCATTCGCCGATTCCCCCCGATCCGACCTCCCCCGACTCGGCTGCCGCTCCCCGCCGCTCCGAGCCTCTTCGCTCGCCGCTCCGACGGGTCGAGCCTCGACTCTGGGCCCGCCTGCCCCCCCCCCCTCGCCAGCCTCGAGCTTGTCCCTATCCTCAGGACGGACAGAAGCACACAGACACAACCCATCGTCGATCCCCCAGAAAATGAGGGAAAAGATGGGGAGTGGGGGGGAGACAAACGCCCAGGAGATATGGGAAAAGATGGGAAAGCCTTTTACTTGTGTGTATTTGTTTGTGTGTCCCAGGGCCCCTTCATATCCCCGAGATCGACACGCCAGAAGGCGATGACAATCTTTGGGATGCACCCTGAGAAACTGAGGGAATCCCTAAGATCGCCAGCGTGACGAGGCGATGCCGATGATAGGGATAGGGACATGTTCCAGGCTGGTAACCCACGCTTCCGCAGCGCTCGCGCGCGTGACCCGGCGCAGCCCCCCCTTACCAGTTTGAAACATATCCCTATCATTGTGTTTGGCATCATCTCACCTCGATGCCGATCTCAAGGATTCCCTCGGTTTCTGGGAGCACATGCCTACGATTGTCCTCGCTTTTTGCTCGCCAAATCTTAGGGATAGGGATACGTTCGAGGCTGGTTACCTCCGCTTCCGCAGCGCGCGCGCGCGCGACCTGGCGACCCAGGACACCGGGCCAGGAGGCGAGGTACTGCGAGGCTGGGACTCCTCGTGCTCGAGGGGAGGAGGAGGAGGAGGAGGAGGAGGAGGAGGAGGAGGAGGAGGAGGAGGAGGAGCAGGAGGAGGAGGAGGAGGAGGAGGAGGAGGAGGAGGAGGAGGAGGAGGAGCAGGAACAGGGGGAGGAGGAGGAGGA